TCCAGTCTGAAAAACATCCCTCGACCACCATCCTCTATCTCATACCTTTGAGCAATTTTGTATCCAATTGGCTAGCTCCCCTTGGATCCTATATGATCTAACCTTACTAACCAGTCTACCATGCAGAACCTTGCCAAATGCTTTATTGAAGCCCGTACAGACAACATCTACCATTCTGCCTTTATCAATCTTCTTTGTCACCTCTTCAAAAAACTCATTCAAATGAGTGAGACCTGATTTCCCATGGACTTACCCATGACATGAGCCATGCTGACTTTTCCTAATCAGTCCTTCCCTTTCCAAATGCATGTAAATCCTATCCCTCAGAATCCCCTCCAACAACTTACCCACCGCTCACCTGTCTATTGTTCCCTGGCTTTTCCTCACAGCCTTTCTGAAATAATGGCACCATACTAGTCAACTTCCACCTTCTGGCACGTCACCTGTGGCTATTGAAGACACAAATATCTCAGGTAGCAGCCCAGCTATCTCTTCCCTACCTTCCCACAATGTTCTGGGAAACACCTGATCAGGTCCTGGGGATTTATCTGCTTTTATGTGTTTTAAGACCTCCAACACCTCTTCTTCTGTAATATGGATACATTTCAAGATATCACTACTTATTCCCCAAGTTCTTGAGCTTCCATATCCTTCTTTACAGTGAATACATTTTTTACCCTTCTAAATAATCTCATATCACAATTACAGTCACTTAGGGTAAAGGGATTCAATGGTCTAATAATTTTTTGTAGAAATAAAACTAACACCTTTTTCCTTATATTAGAGATCTTGAACATTCTTTTCCAGGAACATTCAACATCTTATTTTTGTTTTTGTTAGTTCTTTTGTCCTGGTTTTGTTAAACTATTTGATTTCTGATTCCATAGTTTTTAATTTTTTTTTATCTTAACCTATCTCAAACATTGGAGTATGCCTGGTTTTCATTGTAATGCCCATTATAGTAAACCAATCTGAATGTGTTTTAATGCAGGCAAGGGAAAAAAAATTATCTCACAATCTATATAAAAATATTCTAAGATTATTAATTTATTAGTAGAATTCATCTTAGGCTACCGATGATAAAATCTGTCCCACTTCTGCAAGATGAAATTGATAAACATCAAAAATTGATACAATTGATGTCACAGATACATTAGAAATTAGAAACCAAGATGAATAACTTATCACCAAAGCCAGTATTAAATCTATTCTAGCATTTCAATTACATTTTAATGACAAATATCTGAAGATTTGGCACTGATTATACCATCGGACAAGAGGGGAATGAGACAACCTGAGACAGTGAGGTATTGTTTGATTTATTCCTTTCCTTTTTTACTGCTGTCCCTTGCTGAAGGCTGAATGATGTACACCAAATCCTGGTTTTCAGGTTCCAATTGTTGAAATAAACCCGCAGCAAGGATAAAGTTTGTTAACAAAATAATCAAAATGCCAATGGAATTACTTTAGTCCTCCATTCACAACCACAAGCAGTCGGGAAATAAGGAAGACTAGACAGGAAAGGAGATGGTTTATAAATTATAAGTTTTGGTAAGTCCAGAGATTTCAACTTCAATTCATGGAGTTCCTGGAGGTCAGTGTCCACTAGTAGCTTCTTTGATAAGCTGAGCCCTGCAGTTTTTTCCCTTTTGCAGGCAAAATGCAGGTTTCTTTCCAGCCAGCAACTTGGAAACACAGGTGGAGGGGCCAAGGCAGGCTGCCAGCTCCTGTCTGTCTCTGGAGGTGAAACAGCAACTGACTTAGAATTCCAGAATTAGATATTTAAGCAATTTAAAAAGCTCAGCTTTCAGTCATATGACAAAGACAGGTATTTCAGGCGCCAAGGGCCCATCTCAGTGGGCTAATTGAAAAGTTCCTAAGTTAACAGAGTAGCTTTACCACCCATTAACAGAGTTTCCATTGCAAGTTGTTGAGGCAACTGTAAAAACAGTTGCTCCCATTTCAGCATAATGGCTCTTGATGTTTTCCTTTGTCCTGAGCTGGCTGGAAGCAGACAGCTCACCTCCAAATCCTCAGTGTCAGTTCTGGCTAGAATGTCTACACAGTACAGGAAGTTCAGAAGCTTCTGGAATTTCAATCATGTGATCATTCTGGATCATTTTATAAGTCCATCAAGGTCATCCACTTTTAAAAGAAACAATTTAAAGAAAAATAAATACAAGAGAATCATTTATTTTGTGATTTCTCCTAATGCCCTCTGGCCATGACACAGTTTTGCCTGTCAGTGTGGGGGCCCTCCCGGCTACTGTTTTCTCCAACTATGAAAGGATCTGCCTGTTCAACTTTCAGCTTACTCCCTTCACCATTTTTAATGTCTATTGCAAAATGCTATGGCTCTTTCTGTACTTTGTTCAGATTTCTACACCCTTACTGAACCTCACTGATGCAGTTCAAGAAGAATTGTGTAGTCTCCGAATAAAGCAATAGACTCACTCACTTTCTGAGGGGGATACGGGAGTACGGTTCCGAGAGGAAAAATCTGCAGCTTTCACAAAGTTTGCTTAGGTTGACCACACATAAAGAAAATTCCCCTGAATGGCAACGCTCTCCAGCAGAGGTCCTTATTGGTTCTGCTGCATTCCCATTTGAGTTAACTCTGTCCTGATAGATCTGATGGATTCCTGCAAGACCTACAGGCCTTCTTTCGAATTTCCTGAAATACAGACAGCAGTCTCCTATCTGTTGCAATGAGAGTACACCAGTCTCTTTTTGGAACTGGAAAACACTGTCTCCTTCTCTCTCCTGCCATCCTCTCCCTTTGTCCCCAAACACTAGCTGAATTCTTAGCTTTTCCACCTTTATCTATGTGATGAGGCAATGTTCACTTTCTTGTTCATACTCTCCATTGATGTGTTCCATTTATGGATTGAGGTAAGGTGCTCAAACAGCATCTGAAGCATTTTGGGCCATTTAGCTTCGCCAGGTAATTTTAACTGTTGCTCCCTAGCTGCCACTTTTAACGTGTTTGTGCTCAGAGATGTTAATGTTTCATTAATCAGATTTCGTTGCTCTAGATGCACTTTCTAATCAGAATTTTCCATTGTTGTAAGGTTTGCTGTCATTCCTGTCTTGAGTTTTACAAATAATTTCACCCACTGAAATTTTCTTATGGCTTCTGACCAATTTTTTTGAATCTGATTCATCTTATCAGATTGTCCGTCCATAATTGCCCTTGAGAAGGTGGTGAGGAGCTGCCTTCTTGAAATGCTGCAATCTTAGGTGCATGGGTAGGTGCACCCACAGTGCTGTTTAGGTAGGAATTCCATGACACCAAAGGATGATGTTTGACTTAGAGATGAACTTACAGCTGGTATTCATATGCATCTGCTGCCCTCGTCCTTCTAAATGTTAGGGATCAAGAGTTTGGATGGTGCTGTTGGAGGAAACTTGACTTTCTGCAGTGCACCTTGCAGGTGGTAGACTATGCTACCACAGTGCATCAGAGGTGAAGGGAGTGAATGTTGAACCAAGATGCTTTATCCAGGTTTGTTTTGAGCATCTTAAATGTTATGGTGACTGCACTCTTCCAGGCAAGTGGAAAGTATTCCATCAGACTCTTGATTTGTGCACTGTAGGTGGTGGACAGGTCTCGGGGAGACAAGCAGTGAGTTACTTTAAGCAGAATTCCCAGCCTCTGACCTGCTGCTGTAGCCACAGTATTTATATGGCTGGCCCAGTTCAGTTTCCGATCAATGGTAACCTCCAGGATGTTGATAGTGGGGAATTCAGTGATAGTAATGTCAATGAATTACAACCAATGGGCAAATAAGGCAATTACCTAGAGCGGCTATATTTGGGGAGGAGGTTGTAGTGTCAAAAAACACAAGAAGCATGCTTTAGCAGTCCTAATGAAACATCTAGTTCTACTAATTTACATCAACATGTACTGACATACATGTAAATGTTCATGTATTTACACTGCAGTCTTTTGCAAAATTTTACTTATTCCTCACTCTGTTTATGTGACAATTTTACAAACATGTATATCCACATGACAATTCCAAAACAGCAAACTAATAAATACCAAAGAACACTATTTAATATTGCCTGAAATATTGATTGTATAAATTGCACAAAATATCTGGCAACTGCTTCAGGAATATATAGCATTTCATCATGTGAACCATACTATACATCATAATGTGTATTTCGTCTTGTACATATCCTGTGTCAAGAATAGAACAATGGGAATGTACAATCTTTTTTTTTGGTTATAAATGCACATCTTTTTCATACACATGCACAATATTAATTTTTGAAAATGGACTGTGGAGGTTTAAGTGTGGCGTAAGGGTGAAGGTTCACCTTGGTCCTTATGATATTCTTGGGGCTTCGGCTTTTTCACTTGCTATTCTGTACACAATTTTAATGTCATTGGAGGAGGACAAATTCCTCAGTTGTTGCAATAGGTACACAGTAGTTTGTTCTGGAGGCCTGTCCCAAATACATTTGAACATACAGCGGCGGAGTGGCCCTGGACTTAAACAGAAACAATTCTGAATTTATGATTTAACTTGTGGGATCATTTAACCATTTTAGTGCAAATAACATGAAATAGTAATTATTACTTCATAACGAAATTTTTTACACGACCTTTATTTCCATCGAGAGGGGATCTTTGCAATTGCTTCGTTATCAGTTTTGTTTTCAATTCGATAACTATAAACTGCGCATTGCGTAACATCGTTCTAGAAATATCTAAAGAGCGGGGTAGGGCAGAAAACACCATTGCAACGTTCTGTCTCGGAAAGACAATTAACCCAGACGTTTAAATCAAGTGACTTTTGTGTTTGTTTCAAGAACCTGCTGAAACAGATTGCTGGCGATTTCCAGAAGGATCAGGAGAGTTGGACTGTGCTAACACCACTGCAACATTGCCCAGCGTGAACCCCCAGGAAAAGAACGTGACTGAAATCTTCCTTTATTTGTTCGTATTAAACTGGAGTTAACGGACCTAAAGAGTGGGTCCAGGTGCTCTGGTGATGATTTAATAAGAAAATTGGTAGAATTTGTGCTTCCCCGCCCCCCTGTTTCGCAGTGGATTGACTCCTGACCGTGTATTAAAGCCCCGCCTATTGCTGAAGGGGGCCTGGCAGACTCTGTGTTCACAGATTCGGTGTACATCTCAGACAGAGACACAGTTAGTGAGTATCTGAAAGACGCTAATAATGGAGTGGAAACCGATGGAAATCAACCCTGAGGTAGTAATCTTTTTGTTTTCTTTATCTCTTAAGAATGTTGATCCTGGCGCGTTTTAACTGTGTTCTCTTGTTTTTTCTTTATCCCTTTCAGATGCTGAACAAAGTAAGTGCGTAGCATAAATTCACCGAACGTTAATTACCCGCAAGTATTTCTTCAGCTGGTCCCGATGTAAACTAGCTAAGCAACAACTTGTCGTGAAATTGCTAATTCTTAATTGAAGATTCGTTTTAGAATATTTTGAAGTACCTTTGTCAAATAATATATCAACGAATGCTATCATTATTAATGTATTCTGCATTAGCTCTTCAGTATGCTTAATTTTTAATAGATCAATGATTCAGTGCTTTTAACAAGATTCTTGCTTGCTACGTCAGTGTTTGTCTCGTCTGGGTGTGGCATCGAGCTGGAAGTTCGTGGATGTCTTGGGTTTGGAAAATGAATCCCTCTCCATGGTACCATCGCCAGTGTGTGCTTTAATGTTACTGTTTCCTTTAAGCCAGCAGGTAAGGTGCTGTGGTCTATTGCTCCGTTTGTTCTAGAGTTTCGGATGGTAATTTCATTGTTAATATGCTGCATCATGCTTCAATTGAATTATGCAGGAACTGATGCTTTCTAGGCTTGAGCAGTTAGCTGCCATACTGCTGTAGCATGAGATAGCAAGCTTAATGTTCCTCTGCATAACTTGCTTTCTCCTGATCTTCTATTCTTATCTCAAATTTTGGGACTAAACTATTATTGCAAAGCTTTGAGTGGAATTGTAACCTGTTCACTCATTGTGAGCTGAGCAATGACCTGAGTCTAGTGATTTCTATTGTAGACAATAGAGTAATCTCCACCCCAGCCCTCTCCCTATGGTGTAATGGGAACTGGATGAAATGGCAGCCTTGGTTCTAATGGGATTGTTGTCTTTAACCAGAAAGAAAATGATTTTATAATAATCCCATATGAATATTAAACTTAAGCACGATCTGTGTTCTTTAGCTCACCAAATGCTGACTTCTTGCTTCAAGCTTGCATGTACCCATGCTGACCTTTTTTTGTTTCTAATCAAGCAATAGATTACTGAGTCAGACTACAGCAATTAGTACTGCTGCCTCACTGCCAGGGACCCAAGTTCAATTCCACCTTTTGGGTGTATGGACATTCTCCCCATGTCTGTGGATTGGCCATACTAAATTGTCCATGATGTCCTGGGATTTGTGGATTAGCTATGGGAATATAGGTATGGGCCTGCACGGGGTTGTCTTTGGAGGGTTGGTATGGACTTGATGAGCTAAATGGTCTGCTTTCACATTGTAAAGTGATTCTACAGCTTGTTGGTGAAAATATTTCAGCATGGCTGAATTTTCTTGAAGTGTCTCTTATTACTTTTTATAGTAGATTATATCTTCACCAGAAAGTAATGCAGTTGTTCATAAACCACTGAATCTCAATGTGAAAAGAGGCAGTTTGGCCCAGCAAGTCCACTCAGACCTTCGGAAGAGCATTCTACCCAGGGCCACTTCCCATGCCTGATATACCTAACTATACGTTCCTGAACACTATATATAGCCAACTTAGAATGGCCAATCCACCTAACTTCCTCCAAGAGTGCAAAGATCTTGAAGCCAGAGCACCTGGTGCCCACCCAGCATGGGGAGACCATGCAAATTCCAAACTCTGCTCCCTGAAGCTGGGATCAAACTGGTGCTGTGACTCAGTAGTGCTAACAGCTGAGCCACTGTGCTGCCCTGCTTTCCCCTTTTTTTGACTAAAGGGAGCTGCCTTCTCCATGACTTCCTTCCCTAGAGTGTAGGAGACTGAGTGACCTTTATGGTGACTTGAAGTCATGAGGGGTGTGGATAAAGTGAATAGCAATGGCCTGCCTCCTAGGACAGGAGCCCAAAACTGGAGGACACTTTTTTAAGGTGTGGGAAGATTTAAAAGGGACCTCAGGCAACTCTTTCAGCAGGCAGTTCATCTATGGAAAGAACTGGTAGATGCCGGTATTATAGCAACACTTAATTCATTTCTACAGCTACTTGAATAGGAAAGGCTTAGAAGGATGTGGGATGAGTTTAGTTTGGGAACTTAGTTGGCTTGAAGGGTCTTGTTCTATGCTGTATAACTGACTCCTAAACTGAAGGTCATAAGATGAGTTGCATTATTGAATGCAGTTCATCCAGCCCATGGTATTTCATTCACTCATGAATAGAAGTAGATCATTCAGCCCATCAAGCCTCCTATCTATCTAAAGATCATGGCTGACCTAAACTGTACTCTCTTTTCCTGCCTCCTTATTATCACTCAAATCAAGGATTTTAAATATCCCCTAACCCTAAGTTGGTTAACAGCCTGTCAAGGTTGGGTAAAGAACTCCAGATTCTCAACCCTCGTTTGTCACATTTCTTAAATGTGCAGCCCCTTATTCTGAGATTATGCCCTCTTCCTTGGATACCAAGGGGAAACAGCCTTCCTGTATCTACCCAGTCTGATCATAAAATTTTGTTTCAGGTAAGTTGTCTCATTGTGGTAATAAGTACAGGCTCTATCTACTTAACACTTCCTCATGACAGGCCCCCATGCTTGGTGAACCTTCACTGGACTATCTCCAATGCCACGATCCCTTCCCTTTTGGATAAGGGGCCAAGCCTATCAGTATTTTCAGCTGTGGCTTGACCAAAAACATTAATAGTTCTCAACTTTAAATGTTATACTATCAAAAGCTGGCATTCCATTTACTTTCCTATTAGCTAATGGATTGGTTACTAGCTTTACGTGGATGAGGATGTCAAAATTGCTTTTGCCCTTTCTGCAGTCGTGAATAATCCCTTCACTATCCTAGACAAAGTGAATAGTCTCTCTCTTAACCAGTAGAGGGTTTTTCTATACTTGACCTGTCTATCCCTCTGGGAACTGTAGCCTCTTTGTTTTTCAGCAAACCTGGTTACAGTATATTCCCTTTCCTCATGTCAGCAATATACTGTAAGTATTTGCGGCCCAGCATGATCCCTGTGGCAACCTTTAAAATGAGCCCAATTGACTTCAGTTGGCTAATCATTTCCATATTACCATAATGTCTCCCCTATGGACTCAAGTAGCCTAGTGGTACCTTTTGAATGCCTTCTGAAAATACACATTCACTATGTTCTCTTGTGTCCTGCCTCTTAGCACCTCAGTCAAGTGTTATTCCCCCTTCATGAAGGCATGCTGACTCTACTTAGTTGCAATGTATTTGTAAATCACCTTATCACTGTATCCCAAGTAACTAGTTAAGATAACAGGCTATCACATGTCTAAATTGGAAAGTTGCTAATCTTGATCTTTACAAAATAGGGATTCCTAGAAGACTGGCTGGTTCCTTCTTGTCTTTAAGATGTAACCCATTGATTTTCCTAACTCTTTATCCAGTCACACTTGAATGCATCTCCTTTCTTTGCCCCTTGCTTGCTTCCCCACTTTTACCTTGACTTTTTCAATTTGGGATTTCTAGCCACTAATTCTTGCTGAGCTGTAATGAGTTTGCCAAATATGGAGTAGTCATATGGCAGCTGTAACCCTCAAACTTAAACCAAGTTATGCTATGCCATGCAACAAATTGTTCAGTGCTAAGTTTGAGGTGAGAGCCTACTAAATGTTGACTAAAGCAGCTGAGATTGGACAAATGCTTGGGCCTCACGGTGGCTTGAATAACTAGTCAACTCAATTTACTAGTAGCAAAATCAGTCAAGAATTGAAGCTTTTGAAAAGACTACACTTGTTAACAGTGCCCAGCTGTACACTAGAGCCCTAACTCAACAGAACAGCTAATCATGGAGACCATTTAATTAAATTGCAACAAAAAGCAGAAGTTGCTGGAAAAGCTCCATGGGTCTGGCAGCATCTGGTTGGGGTGCAGTGTTGGGGGAAAAAATCCGACTTAATGTTCTGGGTCCAGTGACTCTTCCTTGGAATTGTACCTGTGCCAGTTCTGAGGAAGGGTCACTGACCCAAAATGTTAACTGTCTTTTCACATGCTGCCAGACCTGCTGAGCTTTTTCAGCAACTTCTGTTTTTGTTCCTGATTTACAGCATCTGCAGTTATTTCCACTTTTACTAGACTCCAATCTTGTCAGGAGCCCCAGAACAAGGAGTGGGAAGTTCAGTCCAAATATCAATTCAACCTGCTGTAATCTGTTCTGATTACTAGCCCTGCCAGACTCTTCTGAAATGCAGAACCAGTAAACTTTGGAAGTGGTGAGATTATGGTAGCATAGTTGGAGTAGACTTGTAGAGGACCATTTCACATGCAGAAAGGCACTGAAGGATTCTGTCCAAATGGTGACTTTCAGTTCTGTGCCTCTGAATACATGCCCCCTGCATTATGCAATATCTTCTCAACCTGAAGATTAAAACTAGGATACTGGCCACTTGCTGGTCTTAAAATGGAGACAAAGCCCAAAAGTCCTGCCCACCTTCCTGCATTAGACATGCTGGGGGTGATAGCAAGCTGGGCAGAGCTGCCATCAAATGATCAACTTGTGCCATACAACCTGATAGCAAACTGTCAAGAACCCAGGTTGAGTCTGTAGCTGAACTTGAGTTCCTTAGAGATGCAACATCTCTCCAACTGAGCTGGATTAGCTTTCAAAACCAGCATTTCTCAGTTAAGTCTTTAATCTGAAATAATAAATCTCTTGGTTTATTTGTCTAGTTCTGAAGCTGATCTTTTGTCTTCTACAGGAGTTATTTGGCCAACCTGTCCCAATCTTGGCCGTGAAACAAGTCTATCTTATTGTCTTCTACTTTCATCTCTTCCAGAGGGTGGCAAATGTGGAACTTGTGGAGGCCAAGTCATTAAACTTTAAAGACTCTTTGCCTCAAGAGGACCAAAGGCTAAGGGGAGAAAGTAGGACAATGGGATTATCAAACATCAGCCACTAGCTGAATAGCAGAGCAGGCTTTATGCTCCAGAAGGAGCATAATTAGGTCAATGTCATGGTCTTGCCTCTTGTAGCCCCAATACTGTTACAACCTATAATGCATCTAAATGTTATACACTAGAACACTAAATGTGACTGATACAAAAATCAGTATAACCCCTAGAAAACTAATCTTCAAGTATCTTGTATCCTTCCATTTTACATGCAAAAAAAACTAAATGTTCTTGTCCAGGTGGAATAATTTCACATTATAATTTTGAATAAGTACCCTTTTTCTGATACACCACTTGATTGGCTCATGGTTTCAATCCCATCCACTAGAGGACAAGAGTTCAAGCCAATTATAATTCTGAAATGGCAGCTGGTTAAGCAACTTTAGCTTTAACCAACTGGCCCATAAATCTGGAGTTATAGCAGTCTAGTGCTTCAACAATATTCCAAGAATGCTCAATAGAAATTTAGCATCACTACATCCATCATGTAATGCTATTTAATCACTGCTTTTAGCAATAAAAAAATGTTTTTCTAATACTCTTGCAGTTAATCTTTAAACTTGAGTGGATGCTGAAATCCAAAATTGGCAGGTCTGGCTGCATCTGGAATGCAACCAGTTGTCAATCCAGTGACCCTTCAGAACAATCTTGCATGTACATTCTTCAGTTTGGTCTCTCTCTACAGAGAGGTCAAGATAATACTTAAATCTCTGTACAATTCCTGTATACCATGAAATTAAAGGTAATAAAAACCAAAAACTGCAGATGCTGTAAATCAGGAACAAAAACAAATTTGCTGGAAAAGCTCAGCAGGTCTGGCAGCATCTGTGAAGGAAAAGTGTCAACATGGTGGGTCCAGTGACCCTTCTTCAGAACTGATAGTGGCTGGGAAAACATCAGTTTTATATGCAGAAAATAGGGAGGTGGGTGGGGTAGGGAGTAAATGATAGAGCCCAAAGAGAGAGAGACAGTTGCTAACAATCAGGCTGGGAGGGTGAATAGTTGTTAATGGGGACTGTTGGTGATTAACAACAGGGGTTGTGTAATGGCAGGCTGTGGTAAGAAGACCTGGTGTGTGGGGTGGCTGGGACATGGAGAGTTTAGGCCCTAAAACTATTGAATCCCTAGCCACGTACATTTGTGATTCATCTGACACCTTGCACCAGTTTCAAGACTTCCAGTTTACCAGCTCCAGCCACCACTTCTTTACCACGAATGTGCAGTCCCTTTTACACATCCATTCCCCACCAGGATGGTCTTTAGGGCTCTCTGCTTCCTGGAGCAAAGACCTGAACCACCACCCTCCCCCCTACTTGGCTGAGCTTGTCCTCGCCCTCAACTTCTTTCACTCCTCTCTTTTTCTGCCCTCGCCCCTTTTCCCTCCTGCAATGGCAATAGGGTTCCCCCTATCCTTGCCTACCAGCATCCCATCCAGAAGATCAGATGCCATTTCTGCCACCTCCTGCAAGATGCCACCACCAGACACATTCCCCTCCCTTGTCCGCCTTCTGCAGGGACCATTCCCTCAAGGATACCCTGGTCTACACTTCCTTCACCCCCCAATACCTCCCCACAGCCTTATGGCACCTTCCCCTGCAATCAGCAAAAGTGCAACACCTGCCCACTTACCTCCTCCCTCCCCAGTATCCAAGGGCCCAAACATACCTTCCAGGTGAAGCAACACTTCACCTACACTTCTCAGAATCTAGTCTACTGCATTTGTTGCTCACAATGGTTTCCTCTACAATGGGGAAACAAAATGTAGACTTGGCAACTGCTTTGCAGAACATCTACATTCTGGTTGCAAAGAAGACCCTGAACTACCTGTTGCCTGTCACTTCAATGCACACACTGCTGTCTGGCCAACATCGGTCTCTGGCTTGCTACAGTGTTCCAGTGAAGCCCAACACAAGCTGGAGGAACAACACCTCATTTTCCACTTGGGGACCCTCCAGACTCAATATTGAATTCAATAATTTTTAGGGCCTAAAATCTCCATGTCCCAGTCCCCTGACCACCCCATGCACCAGGCTTTGTTACCACACAGCCTGTCATTACACACTGTTGTTAGTCACTAACAGTCCCCATTGATTGTTAGCAGCTCTCACTCCTATTTTCTGCATATAAACTGATGTTTTCCCAGCCACTGTCAGTTCTGAGCAAGGGTCACTGAACCTGATATGTTGACTTTTCTCCTTCAGATGCTACCAGACCTGCTGAGTTTTTACAGCAACTTTGTTTTTCATGAAATTAAAGTTGTTTTGTGTGGTTTTTTGCTACTTTTTTTAACCCTAATCCTAGTTTGCTTGCATAGTGTCCCTCCCTATTCCACCAGCAAGGCAGCTATTTCGATACCCAATGCTACTGTCTCCACTGCCTTCTAAGCCTAGATCAAATACACTTTTTAAACTCTCTCTTCCCCTCTTAGTTAAGCCTTCATTACAGCCCTTGTGTCTGGGTCGCCAGGGAGCATAGTACAGTTGAAAATCCTGCTTTCACTTGAAGCTGTCAATCTTGTTCAGCCTCTCAAAGATGTTTTAAACTATTAAACAGATCACTTTTTCAACTATTGCCTGGAGTGGCTTTACTTTTTTCCAGTTTGCTTTTGATCCTTTCAGTATCCATTTTGCACCTGATTTGAAGTGTGGGCACCAGGCCTATCTCACTGGAATTCTTACACCACTTGAAATTAACAGTTATGCAAATAAGTGTAGTAGCTTTCTTTGCTTGTCAGCTCAGACTCTCTCCTTTTTTAAAGGGGCTTTTGGAATGAACACTTCATCTCAAGACAAGGTAGTGTTAAACTTGAGACTACCAAAAACTTCAATTTGGTCTCCTATGTGTTCCATTTGTGGCGAATAGGCACTTCAGCCTGCTTTTTTGAGCTGGCAACAAGTGTTCTACCAAGTAGCTGAATCAAATATTTGGATCCCAAAACTTGTATGCACAACTTCCATGTCTTGGTTCCATTTAAACTATTAGTTTTACACTTGTTGTCGTCTTCTTCCACCCCCCCCCCTGCCAATTCTTCAGATGTGTACACCATTGAACTTGAAGCAACTAAGCAGTTTTTTGTTTTTCTTGTGGGGAGGCTTTAAAAGGAAGTCTATGTAAACCTATTTCTTTTGACTATCTTCCTCATTCCCTCATCCTGTCAGCATGAATCATACAGGGAGCGTCAAACATCGGAACTGAGCGGAAAGGGTATTGACTCAAAAATCTACTTCGTGAAGCAGACCATTTCAAATTCATGTGGAACTGTTGGTCTTATCAACACCATTGCTAACAATCAAGATAAACTTGACTTTGGTAAGCTGGATAATGTCTTGGTTCTAGTAAGGCCACTTATTAAAGTCCACTCAAGTTCCACACCTCTGCCTAATGTGTATGCAGACTTGTCCTCAATCCAAGAAGCTAGGTAACTGTCAGTTTAACAACATCAGACTGACTTGAGACTAATGTCATCAAAATTAGCTGTGGATGTCCTTCTTTTACTCAAAGTATTACTCATTCAAATGAACTAACTAGGGGAACCTTGTGGTGTAGGGGTAGAGACCCTACCCCTGGACTAGAAGGCCCAGGCTAAAATCTCATTTGATTGTGTAATAGCATCTCCTGAACAAGTTGACTTTCAAAATAGGTTGAATGTCAAATGAACTGACTTCTTTTAAAATAACAATTTTTGTTGCAGTGGAAGGCTCTGTATTGAAAAAGTTTCTGAATGAGACTGTGGACCTTTCAGCAGAAGAGAGAGCTAAGCAATTGGAACAAAACAAGGTGAGAAAACTGTTCCTGTTGACTGACTGGAATTCAGTTTGCAGTACAAATTAACAATGGATCTGTTCTTTCCTCTCTGCAGGAGATTTGTGCTGCACATGATGCCACTGCAGAGGAGGGAGAGTGCCGGGTAAAAAATCTATTTGGAAATTTTTTTCTGCTAAACTGCTTTCCCTACCTGCTTGCTTATTATCTAAACTGATTCCAAGAGTTCAATAGTCTTAACAGCTATCAGAGGAATTGTCTCTGGCGCAAAGAATGCAGGTGATCTTGAGTTTACAAAACTGGAGGAGACTGGTGATGGGGAGAGAGTCCCTATTGAGGGATGGCTCACTGGTTTTTGGTTTTTTTTTTAAATCAGCATAGGGTGTTTTGGGTTAGCAAGTCAGCTAAGACAAATTGAAGAGTTGGATTGTTTCCAGTTTTAAGGGCCCAGTTAAGAAATCTGAATTTGTCAATTAAACAACATCAATGTTGTCTACAAACAACCAATTGTGGATAATCAGTGCTGATGTACTTTGCAACTAAAGTACAAAGGCCAGACTGCAGGAACATTAGTAATGAATTCAAACTATCAATCTCAAGTCAGTTGACTGAGGGAGATTTTCTAGGAGAAATGCAGAGCTTTTAATTGGCAAATCATTGCAAGTGGAACTCCCACTTGGTAACTTGCTAGTTAGCCTACTGAATAGCCTGCTGTAAGCTCTTACTTTTTTTTAGTGACCACCCCACCAAGTCTTAGTCAACATTTGACTTGAGAATTCCCAAGATAGTTCATGATGACTGACAGGAATCTCAAATGCCAAAATACTTGGGTATTTAATTGGGGGAGGGGGAAATTACCTTATTAGGCAAGAACTACAGAGCACCAATTGGGATCAAATGTTCTCTGGGAAATGCATGATAGAAATGTGGAGGTTTAGGGAGCAGTTGCTAAACATTGGATATGTTTGTCCCACTGAAGAAAGGATAGTGAAGTGAAGGAACCTCTGACAAGACATGTTGAACACCTAGTTGGAGGAAGAAGGAAGCTTACTTAAGCTTGAGGAAGCAAGGATTAGACAGGGCTCTAGAGGTCTACAAGGTAGCCAGGAAGGATCTGAAAAAATGGACTTGGAGCTAGAAGGGGTATGAGAAAACCTTGGCTGGTAGGATCAAGGAAACCCCAAGGCTTTCTATACATGAGGAACAAGAGGATGGCCAGTGAGAGGTTGGGGCTAATCGGGGATAATGGAGGCAACTAGTGTGCAGAGGTAGGGGAGGTCCTTAATGAATATTTTGATTCGGTATTCACCAGTGAGAGGGACCTTGATGTTTTTGAGGACAGTGAAACTGGCAGATATGATCAAACAGGTTGATGTTAGGAAGGAGTATGTGCTAGAAATGTTGAAAAACATGAGGGTAAATGTATCCCCCTGGAGCCAGATTGGATATACCCAAGGTTACCATGGGAAGCAAGGGAAGAGATTGCTGCCCCTTTGGCAATGATCTGTCTTCACTGTCCACTGGAGTAGTACCAGAAGATTGGAGGGTGGTAAATGTCCTTCCCTCCAAGAAAGGAATAGAGATAATCCTGGAAATTATAGACCAGTCAGTCTTGTTGAGCAAAGAGGTGGCAGATGGAATTCAACCCAGAAAGTTGTGAAGCGCAAATCTGAATGCAGAATACAGGGTCAATGGCAGGATTCTCCAGTGTGGAGGAACAGGGGGATCTTGGGGTCAACATCCATAGATCCCTCAAAGTTGCTACCCAAGTTGATAGGGTTGTCAAGAAGGTGTATGTGTTGGCTTTGACTGACTGGGGAATTGAGTTTAAGAGCTGAGGTTATGCTGCAGCTCTAAAAGTCTGGTTAGACCACACTTGGAATATTGTGTTCAGTTCTGGTCACCTTTACTATAGGAAAGATGTGCAAGCTTTTAGGGTGCAGAGGAGACTTACCATGATGCTGCCAGGACTGGAGGGACAGTCATGTGCAGAAATGTTGAGGGAGCTAGGGTTTTCCTTTAATTGGAGCAAAGAAGGACAAGAGGTGTACAAGATGGAGGGGCATAGAGTGGATAGTCACACAGTCATTTCCACCCTGAGACAATGACAAGGGGGCATAATTTTAACGTGATTGGAGGAAGGTATAGGGAGATGTCAGAGGCAAGTTCTTTACACATTGGGCATGTGGAATGCGCTGCTGGCAGTGGCAGTGGAGTCAGATACATTGGGGACATTTAAGTGACTCTTGGATAGGCACATGAAGGATAATAGGTCAGCACAACATCATGAGCTGAAGGGCCTGTACTGTTCTATGTTCTCTTGGCTTTTAATGGGGTTTGAGATCTGAGCCATTATTAGTTTGTAGCCCCTTCAGCTGTGGCTGGATTGCTTTGTCCTCATGTCAAACTCTACCGAGTTCATTCTGAAATGATGCAAGTAGATAAACGTGTATCATGGGGTTGCAAATATTGGCAGATCAAGTAACAGAACAATCTGTGTTCCCTGTAACTTTCTCTCTGCCTCCGGCTAATGCACAGCAGCACTCCAAAATCCAAAAACAATGCTGTGATCAGAATGAAGTTGATTGTTATGCATTCCACAGTAACAGGCCCTACAAAAAAAATTACTTCCTCTTTAAAAAGAAGTCTGCTACATCAAAGCAAAAGGTGCAGCTGGAAATGACACTTCTGGCTGAAGTCAACAAGTGGCTGTATTGTAACATTCCACCAGTTTGGTTAATCTAGATATTTGGGAATAATAAGCACTAGATAGTGAAATCTGTGGGCAACAATGTTACTTGAATAGTACTGAAGACTTCTAATCCAGAAGTAGTGGTGCCTCTAGACCAGCTGTTCCAGCAGAACTAAACACAGGCATGCACCCAGCAGTGGGGACAGTTGTCAAGGCCTGTCCCTTTTGCACAAAGGGCAGTAACTAGCCAGGTTGCATTTGTCTCAGTCTGCTTCTCCAGAGCTTGTTATAAAGCAGCACTGTGATCACTTCAGTTTTTGGGTTCTACCAGGCCCACTCTGATCTGGATCTCATCGTCTGTCTGTGTTTGGTCAAAAGTAGTAAAGTCTGAGTTGAAGTGATGCCACCCAAGGACAATCTTTGGAAATCTGAAGGGAGGTTGCTATACAAAAATTTTGTGCCTGATGTGTGAAATGATGACCCCTTGGATGTTAAGACAACTGAAGCAAATAGGACTTGAACCCAGGCCTCTTGCCTCGGTAGGGGAATTACTGCAAGACTTGTGGTAAATCACTGAATATAAGGCTTGTCCAGGGTTGGAGGAATGGGTTAAACGGTCCAACTGTCAATGTTGTCTAATTGACTGTTTAGATGCTGCCCACCTGTAGAACAGGTGGGACATGGTCCTGGGTCTCTTGGCCCAGAGGAAGAACACTTCACTGAAGTAAGATTTTTCCACTAATATTGGAATACCTGCTACTTAAGCAGCCTGTCCACGTAAGACGTGGAGACCATTCAGGATTGAACTGATCCATGACAAGTAACATTCATTGCCAGCCATGAATAGCACAAGTGTGCACCTGCTGACACTAATGTCAATACCCCTGCTATCATCACTTCATTAGGCAGGTTTAAACCATGACTGGAGAGGGCAGTGGTGGAAAGATGGTTTTTCAGGCTCTAGGTCCATGACTAGTGATGTTCTGCAGGGATCTATACTGGGACCTCTGTCTATATAAGTTCTGAAAATATAGATTGTGGGTAGGGGTGGGGTTAGTTAATAACTACTGTATTGACTACAGAATTGTAGATAGTTTAGAAGATTGGTCAAAGGCTATAGATCAGCTACAGACGTGGACAGAAATAGCAAATGGAGTTTAATCCAGGTAAATGTAAAGTCTGGAACTTCAGGAGATCAAATGGTAAAGAAGGTATACAGTTAATGGCAGGACCCTGAATGTACTGATGTAAAGATATTGGGGTTAAAGTCCATTGGTCCCTGGAAGTGGTCACAGGTGATAAAGGCTTGGCATGCTTGCCTTTATTGGTCAGGGAATTGAGTACAAGAGTCAGGATGTCATGTTGCAGCTCTAAGATTTGTTAGGCCACATTAGAGTATTAATTCAGTTCACGTTGCTCATTACAGGAAGGATGTGAAGGCCTTGGAGAGGGTGCAGAAGAGGCTTACCAGGATGCTGTCTGAGTAAGCTATAAGGAGAGGCTAGGAAAAAGTTCAGTTTTCTTTTGGAGCAGCAAAACCTGAGTGGAGATCAAGTAGAAGTCTATAAAAATTGAGATGTATAGATAGAGTTGACAATCAGATTCTTATTTCCTAAAACCAGGGGCAATTGTTTTAAGTTGAGTGAAGAAAGATCAAAGGAGATGAAGGGCAAGTTTTATGATGGAGGCACATAGTGGGGTGTTTAAGCACACGAATCTCCAGAATGGAGGATATGGAGCAAGGGCAGGCAGAAGGGATTAGTTTTAATTTGGTGTCATGTTCAGTCCAATATTGTGGATCAAAGGGCCTATTGCTGTGCTGTACTGATCTGGACAAACTTTAATACTGCCACAAGTACACCTCCATACTTGTTGACCATCCACAAGGCAAGTTAGGAATGTTATCTCAACAGTCCAGAGTTATTTCCTTCTACATAGCAGTCTACATCTGAATTTTAGATGTGTCGTGGAGAATAAGATGGAAAAATAGTAGCCTATGCAGCCCATCAAGTCTGTTCCACTAATCAGATAATGGCTGATCTGCAAATCCTTGACTCTTGTCACTTTAGGGAATCTGGGTTATAAACAGATTGTAACTCCTAGCTTGATGGCCCTCTAAGCATTCCACAGACTTGCTATCCTCCAGCATTCTACCTTCTCTCTCTCCAATTGTTTTTGGTAGACAAATGCTGTCTCCAGAAGCAGACAGATGTTTGGTAGTTGGATAGTTGCAGTGGCACTTGGTTGAAGTGACTGCATAACAATCTGCTTTTTTTGGTTTCTTTCTTGTAAAGAGTACAATCTGAATATCATGGTGCTTTAAAACTCCAACCTGGAGACTAAAAGCACAATAGCTGGAGAAGCTCCACAGGCTTGGCAGCATCTGGAGAGTTCAACTGTCTCCAGATGCTGTCAGACCTACTCACTCACTCTCTCTCTGCAGTTGTTCTTGTACTAAAACCTAATGGCTGTTCTGGTCAGTTTGACTAGGCAATTAGCTTGCAACAGCATGGATCAATTCTTGCACCAGATGAGGTGACTGTGGAAAGTCCTGTCTGCTCAACATTGCCTCCCCTCTCCAAAGCATGTTGACTGTTCAGTTCAACTCCTCCAACCTGCTGGGACTAGTGATCTTGCCTTTTTCCTCTTGCCTAGTTTACTGCACAAACTATCTGGCTAATCTTAGTTGCTAGATGGGAGAACCTCATTACCTGAAATGCACTAAGGCAAATATGCATGGCAGGAATGCAATATCTAGTTAATATGCAATTAACTTTTTGTGCCTTTGTCCAATAGGTACATGAAGATGGTACAAATTTCCACTTTATAACTTTTGTTGGTGTAGATGACCATCTCTATGAACTAGGTAATATCTTGACATTTGTCTATCTATACTTCATTGTATCTATTAAAATATCAAGTGGGCTTTCTCTGTATTAAGAGCAGTGAGTCTAAATGATATATTTGACAATGCACTCAACAGATTGAGCTTGCATTGCTAGAAGTGGCTGTGTTAATCTTCAGCATTGCAAACATCTACTTTTCCAAGTAGATTAACTAGCAAACACTTGAGACATTGCTGTTTTGATATGATTTCTTCTTCAGTTGTGCAGACTGAATACTAATCATAGAGGCTACCTAAACTTCTGTCTTGTTTCTTAAAATTTGAAAAATGAACATTTCTTTCTTTTTTTAAGATGGTAGAATGCCATTCCCCATTGACCATGGAGAAACTTCAAATGATCAACTCTTGCAGGTTTGTTTCAACGAATCCCTGACTTGCTTCTCCCTCTCTAATAGCATCCCTCTTAAACAGCCTCAATCCATTGCTTGTACTATAGCCAAAATTGAGTCCATCAGGAATGCAAACATGTTTGATTTTGCAATGAACAAAGCTACGCCAGGATTTTGTATAATCTCATCTCTTGGTACCCATTCCAGGATTCTGCGAAGATATGTAGACAATTTATGGAACGTGATCAAGGAGAAGTTCGCTTCACTGCTGTGGCCCTCAGCAAAGCCTCTTGAATGTCTGTCAAGTGCACAGAACAACTTTAATGTGCTGTTCTAAGCTTTCTGAATGCTTTGCTTAAATTCTGTATGGATACTTTTTTAATCCTTTTGCACTTGTGTAGAAGCTTTAATGGCTGGCATTTCTGTACCTCTTGTAACAAATATCTTGTTAACTTGGATAGTAGACCAGTGTTTGCTTTAGAATAAACTTTTTTTGGGTTGTAATGTTTCCCATGCCTAACATGCAGTGTAATAGATGGTCAGTCATTTCAATGGCAAAGCATTGTGCACCTTTTCTGACTAAGTTAAAGGTTGGCTGCAGGGATTTGTAGAAAGCTTGTTTAGTTCCACATTGTGCCTATTTTACAGCTACTCCTGCCAACACTGGCTGTAACTGAAATAAAAAAAAATTGAAGCAACACTGGTTCAATGTCTAATTCAATAGAACTTAATCTCTATGTAGGTACCTACATCAAGCTTTTGACTGGCCAGTCAAGATAACTAGCAACTGCATGGTTGACTTGATCTTTGGCATACCTGAAACTTGCTACATTAAAATGAGTTATGCCTCTCTCGTTCAAATCTCCAGCTATCCAAATTTATCCCTCTAACCTAAGCCATCAAGTTCACAACCATTTTTATGCACGATTCTGAAATTTGAAGTGACTGGCATTTAATGGTATAGTCATTGCAGGCTAGACCAGCATTGACAGTCACTAGCTTTCTTTTATTCAATCATAAGATGTGGGTGCTAATGGCTAGGCAGCACTTATTGCCCAGAGGGTAGTTCAGTCAACCACATTGCTGTGGGTCTGGAGTCACAGGCCCCAGACCAAGTAAGGATGGCAGTTTCCTTTCCCTAAAAGAGCATTAGTGAACCACATGGCTCTTCCTGACAGTTGGCAATGGATTTATGGTCATCCTTTAAACTCTTAATTCAAGGTATTTATTGAATTCTAATTCCACCATATGTTGTGGCAGGATTCAAACATGGGTCCCCTAGAACATTATTTAGGTCTCTGGATTAACAGTCCAGTGATAATACCTCTGGGCCATTGCCTATCATGGTGGTTACTGTTCAGACAACCCATTTAGTGTGGGTTTTTCCAACACCATTTGGAGGGAATGGTGAAGGTTTTTTTTCTTGACAAGCACCTATTCCTTTTTATTTGCCTTCCTTCTGGAAAGTAGTGGTTGACATGGGAGGTGCTGTCTGAGGAACCTTGAGCCATGCAGGCACTTAAAAGCAAAGCACCAGGTACAGTTTTTTTAATTAATGCTTAAAAGCTGAGATGACTCCAGCTGCTTGCCTCCACCAGTTGATCATGAAGCATAACTATCTCCTGGATTGGAGAATAAAGTTCAACTGTCAAATATCCTGATCTCCAACAACACATGACCTCACCTGCACTACCATCTCTGACCCTACTTAAGTGTCAAACTTAAATTTTCTAGTTTTAGAAATTAAATAACCAATCACTCTTCTGTGTAACTGGTTTCCTGTTTTACTTTTGTGCTTGTGTTCTTCCCCACCCCTCCTTCACTATTCCTATGCACTCTGGTTTTTCACCTTCTCCACTTCCTCCACCTGTTCTTGCTATGCTCTGTATAACAAAAATTCTGTCCCTCAGCATAGAAAATGGCAATCTATGTTCCCCTGTCACTCATACTTCCCTCTTCACTACTACTTTTCACTATCGTTTATACAGCTCTTGCAAATGTGTCCCTCTTTAAAACCCTTGTTACCCTTACCTAGTTAAACCTTGTCTGTAAACATCAGTGCAGTGTTTTTCTTCCTCTTTCCTTCCCCCCCCCCCTCTTTTTTCTCTCCCCCCCCCCCCCCCCCCCCACCCCCTACCCCAATTTTTACTGAAACATTTTGCTTTTTTTTTTGTTTAAACTTTGTACCAAAAAGTCTGGATCTAATTCATAAGCTGATCCCATCCTCCTGACAACAGGACTCCTGCATCTGACTATCTCTCTTTCCCCCACCCACATCTGACCACTCTTGATGCTTTGCTTCACTACATAGTCTACTGGAAATCAAGTCCAACTCCTGTACAACCACTACAAAATCCACTGCATAAAGGTATGTTAGTGGTTAGCGTTAGCCCTACTGCCTCTGGCAGGCACCCAGGTTCACACCACATTCTCTTCACCACCGTGCGCGCGGCCCCCCCCCCCCCCCCCCCCCCCAAAAAAAAAAATTTTAAAACAAAATCAGTGTGGCTTTCCTTCCCACAGACCAAAGCTACACAGGCTGTACACTTTCCATTAGAAATGATGGCTGGGATGCTCTTCAGTGTTGGTAGGTTCTACGGACTGAATGGTCTTCCTGCATTCAGAAATTCTATACTTGTACTCTAATCACAAATGTCAAAAGTGAACAGATTTCCAAAGCATAGGCCTACCTTCTGCAAGAATTAATCTTGCCAAGATTCTGACTTGGGTACAATGTATGAATAAGCAGCATACAACACTTTTACTTAAAACCCTAACCACTTTTTTGAAGAAAGACTATGAAAGGAGTTCAGTAGTCCCTACCTACAGGGTTTGCTGAGATGATCCTGTGATTATTAACTGATCAAAGTGCTGTTCTGGCTTCTCCGTTCCTCTCCTGGTATGTTTGCCAGTTTTCAGGAAGCACAAGGTGGCTCTTACTTCATCTGATTTCTGTCAGCTTACAGCAACTGAGGGGAATCTGACATCTTGCCTCAGATGCAGTTTTTAAATGCAAAGCAAATTCTTTCACTCTTCCAGAGATCCAAAGGTTTCACTCAGCCATCAATACCCTTCCCCTTTTCCCCCTTCCCCCTTCCCCCAAAACAAGCTGTTCATGCTGTTGGGTGCCAGTAAGTTGTTGACAGGTGGAAGAGGCATTTGGTCAGTGAGATGGTGAGCAGTTATTGATTATCAGTTACTCCTCATTGGCCAAAAATCTCCACTTGTACACACACTTTGTTTGTACCTATCTCCCACACTTATGCCTTCACCTCTACCCCTTGCTATCAAACCAGGGGTAGCATTCCCTCCATCCTTGCTTTCTGCATCCATCAGCCTCTCTATTGAAAGGATTTCCCTCTCATTTTCACCACCTCTAGCAGCATGCCAGCACCAAACACGTCATCCCCTCCCCTCCACTATCAAACATTCCAGAGGGCCTCTTCCCTTAGTGACTCTGTGATCTATTCCTTCATCATACTTGCTCAATCTCCCATGGTGTCATCCCATGCAATTACAGATGTAACACTTGGATAGTGAGCAGGCAAATGGGCAAGGCCTAAAGTATACGCCTTCTGGATGAAACAGTATTTTGATTTCTTTCAATTTAGTCTACAGCATTTGCTACCCAGTATATTCTGCTTTACATTGGCAAGATCAAATACAAACTGGGTTACTGCTAATTGGAATGACCCTGACCTTCCAGTTGCTTGCTATTTTAACAAAACGTAAAGAGTTTCATTCTGGACCTGCTACAGTGATCCAATGCATCTCAACGCAAACTAGAGGCACAACACCTCATTTTCCATGTGGACACCTTCCAGTCTCTAGGGTTCAATATTGCATTTCACAATTTCAATGCATGACTTCTGTATCCTCCATTTTTTCTTGCATCCCTTACCCCTGCCCCCTCCATCACACCCTCTCTCATTTACAAGAATGGTTCCAGGAATGAGAAACTTCAGTTGTGAGGACAGATGAAGAATTTGGGATTGTTCTCCTTTGAGGGAAGAAGGAGATTTGGTACAGATTTTCACAATCACAAGCGGGTTGGATAGAGTAGATATTGAGAAGCTGTTTCCACTCTTAAAAGGAACAAGAATGAGAAGGTATAGATTTAATGTGATGTGCAAATGAAGTAAGGGTGATGTGAGAAAAGACATTTTCTTTCAGCCACCAAGTAGGGTGTGGAAGGTACTGCCTGGAAATATAGTGGAGGCAGATTCAATTAAGGCATTCAAGGGGACATTGGATAGTTATTTGGAATGAAATGGTGTGTGAGGAAGAAGCTGGAGATTGGCATTAGGTAACGATGCCCATTTGAAGAGCTGGTGCAGACATGATGGGCTAAATGGCTTCCTTCTACGCATAAAAATTCTGTGAAATGCTTTTGGTATTTTTAGCCTTTAATGCCAAAATACATTTCTTTTAAAAAAAAGACAGCTATAGATGAAAAGACTACCGATATATATCAGTGCAGTCTGTCAAAGCCCTGTGCAGAGCGTATGGATTGTTGCACATGTAAGGTGTCAGGGAAGCTTCAGAGGGAGAAATGTAACAGGAGATAATGAAAGGGTTAACCATGTCCCCCCTCCTTTGGTAGAAAGCCACCTCTTGCAGAAATTTTTTATTTTACCCTTCCAGGAATACACAAAAACGTTGTTTAAAACCAGCTGCATATACTGTCTATGTGTGCTAGAAAAGTGAGGCAGCTTGAGGTACCACCCTTGGTTCGAGAGTTACTGTGCTGTAAAGGTTACAGTTGAAGATCCACCTCATTGGTCACTCTAGTTTTGTCGGTAAAATGATTCTGTTTTGCTGGTTGCTAGAAGCCAGTCAGAAGGAGACAGGAATAAGGATGACTCTGTTGCTCTGAGTGTTGCCAACCAAATAGCCTTAAAAGGAGACAGGATGAAAGGATTTCAACTAACCTGCAAAAGCCAAGAATTCCAAGATTGAATGTTCAACTATCAATGTTGCACTGTCCACATGCACCGTTCAGAGAGACTGATCTTTTAATCTTTTAACTTCGGTCTTTTTTGAACTTCTGAACATTTCTTATTCCTAATCTGTGTGTATGTGTGTTCGTTCTTTGTTGTTTTTGTGTTTAGTGACTAATAAACTCCCTCTTTTGTTAATTCAAGAAAGCCTGATTGCATTGATTCCTGTTAAAACAAATTAATTTGTTCTAGGAGAAGGGCATCCACGAGAGAAGAATCCTTTGTAAAGTAACCTTGTTGTGATCAACTGACAGGGCAAGTGCATAAAGAAGGGGTCTGCTCATCCCTCCTCACCCAGGAAGTTAACTATTTGGGGTTACTGTCTGGATCCCTGATGGCTTGGTGGACCTCGCCCAGGGTCATGCCGTAACAAATTCGGGTGTTGTGCTGTGATTTGAAACCACTGACGAAACAAAAGAATTAGAGTTGGTGAATTGTCATTGAAACCATTGTTAAAATGAAAATCTATTAAAAGATTTCTTGAGTCTCGTTGCTCAAGTATGGAAATGTCTGTGCTGAATGTCAGTGCATTCCTTGCACTATTAGGAGAAATTACTTTTGACATGTAAAAGTTCAGTCCCTCAAACATTCAAAGGATTCACCAAGACACTTGGAATTAGAATTATGCTTGAAAGCCAAGAAACCTGAAAATCTTAAAAGGGATGGCCAATGGTTTACAGGTGGAAATTGAGGACCAA